AGCATTTTCTTTCTCATTTTTAGTCATGAATTTAATTGTTCAATTTTAAAATACTACACTGCACATTAATTATGTTGTAGAATCATCGGACACCTGTATGCAGTCCAAGAAACAACTCGAGCCAACTTCTGATCACACGTAGGAAATAAGTCTTTCAGTCACTTCCGGTCACAGTGAGTCATTGAAAGAACATACAATACGCCTTGCTACCAACATTTAGAAGTTTTCAGTTGAATACAATACGACACGGTCTATAAATTACTCTGAATGCATGTAACCAGATGAATCGTTAAATAAATTACACAGCTATTTTGTACATAAATTTAATTTATCGCAACTGAAGGTAAGATTAAAATAGCTCGAGTACTTTTTTTAATTTAAACGTTCACGATGAGTAACGAATGTTAAACATTATGAATTTAAACATACGTTACTCATCGCGAACGTTTAAATTTAAAAAAAGTATTCGAGCTATTTTAATCTTAACTTCAGTTGCAATAAATTAATGTTTAAATTCATAATTTTTAAAACATTCGTTACAATCGAAAGTTAAAATGTATAATATTCTCTATTTGTCGTGAACGTTTAAATTTAAAAAAGTACTCGAGTTATTTTAATCTTACCTTCAGTTCCGATAAATTAAATTTATGTGCAAAATAGCTGTGTAAAATTTTTATGATGAAAATCGCAGGTAGATTATTATAATTGCATTCACACTATTATTCAAACTTGCAGTTTGTTACGACAGTTCATTTCATTGCAAAGAAGCGACACAAGATATCTTGTATATTAAAATCAATTATGCACGACAATGTTAAGTATAAATTAATCCAAAGTTCGTAAACTGACTTATTACGTTTACGAGTATGTTTGCAAAATTATATATACAAATGTCCTTTCATAAATACTACTAAATACAAACAACATCAGTTTGCTAGAGTACAATGTCAGCTAATGCCACATTAAAAACAGGTTTATTTTATTGTTCTCAAAAAAATTGAATAAAGGTACAAAAAGTGATAAAATTAGAAGTGAAAAGTCGTGAACTACAAAGTGGTTCATGAGATGCATTATTGAATGTGCTGTCACATGATGGGTAGAAAAAAATTCGATCTTTATCGTCTCGTTAGGTGCGGGGGCAAAAAAGGTTAGTAGAACGTATGTATATGTTGCGTTAGTCACGGAAGGGTTAATAGGCTTTCGTTAAGTAAGGTGTTAATTATATAACGCCACGGTTTCATCTCGCCACTTCAAGGACACCAACGGCATCTAAATATCAAGGACAAGACACAATTGTTCTTCGTCACATCAATTTCTATTATACTCTTTTGGTTTTCATTCGACAATTGTTCTTCGTCACATCAATTTCTATTATTCTCTTTTGGTTTTCATTCGATTACAACGCTACAAGTATTGTAGAGAATAGATGAAATTTTTCAAGACTCTCGACTACGCTTCAACCTACATTCGCTAAATAATTGAGTGCGTCCGAGGAAGTTGAAGCAGGCGAAACAAATCTTGACTGACAGGAAAGTTGGATCAAAACTACATGAAGTAAACTCGAGTTCGACAGAAATTCATCCGAACAATTATCTTCGGAACGAAACGGCACCAATTAAACGAGTTCCCCGCTCTTCCGTCCCAGTAAAAACGACGCCGACGCTAATTAGCAAAGTCTACGGTCCAAGTAAATTTCATAGTGAATTCAGAGACTGGATGCTTTAAGAACTATCTCATTACATCCAAAGAGATCGAAGTACAGCAAGGTACTGATCATCTCACAAATATTTTCAATATACAGGTTCTATTTACAATGGCTATTATCTCCATTCGATGTTTAATTACTTTCGAAAAAATTATTTCATGTAAAATTTACTGTAACTGTTAGATCGATAAAATTGTTACAACCACAAAAATTAATTGTTTATTATAACGACCGTTGTTTGATTAATTTGATGTTTAGATATTTTAGAAATAATTATTTCGTAACACTTCATTGTAATTACTTAATTGCAATAAAAATTGCGAAAATTGTAAAATTTATTGTAATTATTTAAAGTAATTTGATGTTTGCTTACTTTAGATAAAATTATTTCATATAAAATTTGTCATTGTTTAATTATAATACAAATTGCAAAATTTATTGTAATTGATGTATAATACACTAAAAGAAGAATGTTTTGAGATCTGAATACTGTTATGTATTTAATTACATATATTTCAATTTTATTAAGTATGTTACATGCTTTGTTTTGGTCTTACAAGTGGATAAAATATGTAGAAACTTTCTACAATTGAACAATAAATAACTGTTTGAAAAAATAATTTAATCTGTATAGTTCCATTTTACTGCAATGCGAATTTTTGTACAAATGTCGATTATATAAAAAGTCTATTAATATGGTAAATTAACAAATATTTATTTATTATGCTATTAAGTTTACTACCACCGTCAGCCACCCAACCACCGAAATACATAATTACTGTATAAATGCGTAAATATTGTATTGAATGCTTTTTTGAGATTTCAAAAAAGTGTCATGTGACTTAATATTTTAAAAACAACATTAAATGTTTTAACATAACATTTTTCTGTTATTATGGTAACAATGGTTATAATATATAATACACACATTTGCAAATAACAGTAAACAATTAAACCCAAATTATGGGAAGTTTCACGAATCAGTAATTAAGTGATAACAACAGTTTAAGCATCTGCTTCTCTAGATCATTTTATTTTTTATTTTACTTTACTTTAATCACACGTTGACTGGAATGATCAAAAATTGGTGGTACATATTTAATTTACTTATTAAAATGAAAAAATATAAGTATTATATAAAATACACATTAATAATTCGATTTAACAAACATTACTACATTAAAGGAATCATGACAATATCCTTAATTAATAATTACATTAATTTTTAATTTTAGCACACTAATAACTTGCAGTTGCAAACTGAAGTATTATATTAAATAATTATTTACGTACATATTGTTAGTACATATGTAAAGCAATTACTTTAATTATAGTAATTGCTGATTTCTAATAATCTTTACATCATTATATTGTATTAGATGTGATCGTTTCCACAATAATGACCGTGTCATTTTCTGATTGCCATGGTCAAACATAACCGCACATTTTCTCAATAATTTGTCTTCATTTTGCAATTTACGAATGTTTCAGTAAATCGTGTTTCAAAATTAGTCGAAATACTACTAGATATTTAATTGACGAAATTGCGTACTTAATAAGTTGCATTACTGCTAATGAAAGCTGCATACAATATCTAGATCATCAAACAATAGTAACTATTAATTGATACGATTGATTGATTGATTTTCTAAGGGCCTCGACTGTTATGATCCCTGGCCCATTAATTGATACGAATACTTTGTATCATTAATAATATAAATAATACAAATTACAGTATTAAATTGTTGACATTTGTCACTAATAATTATAATTTACACGATACCGTAGTTAAAATTAGAAATCGTTAGATTATCATTAAGTTAGTAGTTGCTTTTTCAGCCGCAAAACATTGCGATATTCACCTATAAATTACTTTTACTACACCCGGCTATCAGTCCTACAAAAGCTACAATTCTAGAAAAGCAACAAAAAGTTATCGTTAATGGAAGTGTTAAATGCTATACTTAACACGACTTGAACGCCGCGTCATATAGAACGAGCAAAACATTAAACTCTTAGAGTGCAGGTATAACCTTAATTTATACGCCATATTAAGACGTGCACGCGAATTATACCGGTGTGGAAATAAAACAGCCGTATGCCAATTGGCAATATTCCCGTTTGTATAGCTCGGACGAGAGGAAATGAGTGTTTTGTGCATACGGCTATCTAGCGTACAACTTTCCGCATAAAACTGCATAAAACAACGACAGGCTCTTGATTCGCGAAGTTTTATAGCAAGATGGCTTTGTTCTGGCATGGAAACGCTCCCTACGCGAAAAGTTAAGTCCATTTACAAACGTATGTACATACATGCCCCTGCATGTTCAGAAACGGAAGATTCATAGGCTAGATAAACGTAGAATGTTTAAAAGACGTCGTTACAAACGGGGCTATCTCACTTTAAGTCGCTCAACTACCATATCTCTATCCTTGACGTTTGTTATAAACGTTTCGAGAAGTTTCTAAACGCATAATTACGTATATTATACAAGCGATAAGTATTCAATACGCTATCCATTATTCGCAACAAGGGAAAAAATATTTTTTAATTTGATGTCGACACGGACAGATTGATCTATCTCGACTTAAAGATTTGTTTTGAATCACGAAACCAATACATACAATTGTTATGATGAATCATCCGACACCTTGAACCGGTTTGTTTCGTGAGGCTATTTTTAGTGAATATTTCACCGCTTAATACCCGGATAATATCTTCTATTGCGCACGAGAAATATCATATTAAGATCTCATCATGGTATTAGAAGTTTCTCATAGTCAAACGGCATGGAAACGAAATTGCAACGTCAACTGAACGTTCTGTACACAACAAACAAGTTCTGATTAACGAACGTGACTTTTCGGAGCGCCCTGCAACCCTCATCTACATATATATTTGTCCCCGTCGTACACGCATGCTCCTTTCGCTGGGAGCAGCATTTGCTCAGCTGTCACGCGACAAGATCACGAATATGACCTTAACAATTGCCAAGGAATTCGACCGCTTAGTTTACGTCCGCTTTTCCGGAAAAAAACGCGCAATTACCAGTTCGAAATCAAAACGTACGTCTAACTTCGTCGCGGAGCAAAGAAAAACTAATTCTAAAGGGACCTTCGAAAGACAAACAATAGTAACGATTGAACGAGAGCGGGTCAATCTGTCACCGTAATTACTTTCGAACAAATTGTTCCTTTACACACGCGCTATTCGTGCCCGAACTTTTCACTTCTTGTTACAACAGCCAACGTTTCTTTTCTCGTCTATTGTAAACAAAGTACATAATGTACTTACCGGGGAAGCTGTGAGCGCATGCGAAGAGGCACGCTGCCACGAACAATACGCCACTGAGGGTTTTCATGGTCGTCTCCTTGTGCTGCGTGAAAACCGTTCGGATAACCTTCTTCGACGAAGATTCGATTAGGACTGGCGGATTTGGCTTGAACGAACAGGATTGTCACAGAACTCACGAGAGGATCAAGGTCATTCACGGAACCAGCTCACTCAAACTCGCTTGACGCTTTGCGCTACGGCTTTTACCTCGTGCCACTCTATATGTGATCGTTCGCCGCCATTCGACCAATCACGAGCCTCCATGCGCCGGTCACATGGCCACTACATCACGTGACTAGACGGCGCGTCACTTGACTCACGGCGCGGCTTTTCTCGGTATTACTGATCTACCGTACCATATGATATTTGATAATTGTACACACGGGAGCAATGTATGCTTCCTTTGAATAACGTAAATTTCACATTTTCGTAATTTCCAAGGTTTCTCAGTTTTCAGATTTATACATTACTGAATTCCGGAGTTTACTCGAATTTTTACCGAATTTTTACATTCCCAAATTTTTGAGTTTCGGTTGTCTTAAATTTTTTAATTTATACACTACCATATTTTCCAATTATTAGTCTTATACGTTTTCAATTTCTACGTTTTCATATTTTCGAACTTCTACACTCTCACATTTTCCAATTTTTATTGTTTTATAAATCTGAATTTTTCTGTGTCATTTATAGTTATATATATTTGGACAGTGAGGAGCAAAATTGACTTGCATAGGAGAGTTTAATAATTTAAAAATATGAGGATTTAGGAAAATGGGGATTTGCAAACTTGGAAACTTAGAAAGTTTAGGATATGGAGAGGTGGAAATTTAGGGACTTGAGAAAATGGAGAACATGTGAATTTGGAAATTGTGAAACTTAAGAATTTAGAAATTGATATTAACAGATTTGAAAATTTGCATAGTTGCAAACTTAGAAATTTTATACTTTAGGAAATACAGTAATTTGAGAATTTGGGAATTTGAGCATTTGAAATCTTGCAAATTAAAAGATTTGTAAATTTTTACATTGGAACATTTAGTGACTCGAGAATTAGGCATTTTTAAGTTTGATAGTTTATAAATTTGGAGCTTTGAAGATATAATAATTTGAGAATTTGGGAATTCGGTTTATTTGGAAATTTTACAATTTCACATTGTTACAATTTTTCATTTTACAAATACGAAAATTTGGAAATTTGAAAGTAAGAATAAGTGACCACAGAATAAACATAACATTTTATGTTTCATTATTTGTTCTAGTATTGTCTTATACAATCAACACACAGTTCTGACTAACTGAAAACTAAATCACATGGCATAGGATTAAGTCATATGTCGTTTACTTTGTTTTAGATCTGAAAAGGTATGATAAAACTCATTTTTACGATGCATTCTCCAAGTTAATAAATTAAAATAATTAAGAAAGTACAGCAATATACTTTCATAATGTCTTCAGTTTAACAGTCATTATTATTAATCTGCTAGTAAGACAAGTAACTTAAAACTTCTTTTAATCGCAAAATAAGTCAGTTCCGAAATGATTAATCAATTAAAAAATTTTTAAGTAACCAACAATTTCTATGAATCATCAAATGAAATACTTCTCCTTTGGTTGTCATATTTTTCCTATAAAAGCCCGATTAGCTCTTTACAGTACGAACATAAATGTGTACACTATCATTTCCATCGTAGATTTCATACACGAGCTACATGATAAAACCGTTGATGTTAATAACAGTGAATTAAATGAACAATTCCGTGAACACGACGAACAGAATTTGTCATTGTTCGTAGAATCACAAGCACGTGATTTCACGTTGATGATTGGATATAAACACTTTGAAAGGCACCAATATAACTGTTTACAAAAGGTATGAGCCTATAACAATCAACGATAGCGTTCTTGTTTCTCTTTGTATCATGCGTTCGGAGTTTATGGTATACGTATACCTATATCTAGTAATTAAATTCGGTAACTGACTTTTCAAACGGCACATTGCTATTTGAGGCATTCGGTTAACGCAGGTTTCCTTATATCGCGTAAAAATTCCTGCTTGCTGTTGCAATAGGTCAAGGTGCAGTTACAGTTGTAAAAATGGGTAACTGCTTTGTTTCCTCGTATAGTTGATCACATTTTTGGACATTCTTTGAAAATAGAATAATTTCTTTAAAATTAACGATCTGAATTTTATTGAGTGTTTAGAAGAATTGATTTAACATTATATGCGTGGCAGTTTCTTAACATTATATCCGCGAGTACAAATACCATCTTGAAATTATTTTCATGTGTCTGCTGTAAATTATTAAATAATGTAAATGTAAAATGAGAATTAGAAAATTTATATTTTCTTTTGGTAATGATGTCTGGTTACTTTATTAAGTTAACTTTTAAATAAATGTGAGGAGAAATTTGTTTTTGTATGAAATTATGTTTTACGTTTATTGATTATAATGGAGAATAATGATTACTTCTTAAATGTTCCATAATAAATGCGATATATATATTTATTATAATTATAAGTTCATAATTAACTTTGCTATAGTCTTCAATTCAATAATATTTAAGAATCTCTACAAAAATATTATTTATAACATTCTAATCTTCTTATTTTAAATTCAAATAATAAACTTGTAATACAATATTAAGAAAATAGAAATAACCATATTAAGGACAATTTCACTACACATTTTTGACAATAGCTAAATTTTTTAAAGATGGAAAATCTCAGTGGGTAAAAAAAGTCTCGCAACAAGGATAATTTATTAATTATTATTAATTTATATACTAAATTAGTAAACATTTCTATCGAAAAAAGTATTGATTTTCTTCACTCGCGTTTTCGTTTCGATGTGCTTGCAACCGCAATTAGATTGAGAATCTCTGAATTACTATAATAAATAACCTGCTCCGTTGCTTTGCAAAAAATTACAATTAATTTAAATCACAGAGAAAATAACAAAAGTTACGGTTTAAACTCTTATACTTAACAATGAGTCTCTAATAAAAATAAAGGACAAAAAAGATCATTATTTGTAATGAAAAAGAATTCTTGATTTAAATAACGTTTATGTTAATTAAAAATTATTGAATGATTTTGTTAAATTCTCTGTTCATTTATAAACTTTTTCTGCGTCTTAATAAAATATTATTAAACGTTTAATAACGTAAATGTCCGTATTCAAAATCTTCCACTTTACCATCGATACATTAGTTAATATTAAACGAAATTTTTTTCAATTAATGTTAACTAAGATTTTAATCGTGATATCAAGGTTTAATTTTTAATTAAGATGTATGGAGTTCAAAATTAAAATTTATTTTTTAATTAAATTTCGTTAAACAAAAATTTGGTTCTTAATTGTAATTTATCCAAATTGATTATTATTTAATTAAAATTATAGTTAAATTTAATTTTTAATTAAGGTCTATATTCTTCTTTGAAAATAATAAGTTTATAATCTTTTCGTAAGCAGAATATTAGTTGCCAATTAAGTAGATAATATTTGTACAGAATATTATCATTCCTATTACTATTTCTGTCACTATGTCTCACCTATCTTTTCTTAAACTTGTTATGTATTTAGTATTAACACGTTAAGAAATTATCTGCCTCATTAGCAACAACCATAAATAACTAACTAACACTTCTCATAATCATTTTATTTATAAAACTCAAACATAATTGAATTAAAACATTGTATAAGACATTACAAATAAATATTACTGTTGATTACAATCTTAAACGATTAACATAATATTTCCTTAAAAATTAAATTCTACTTATCACTTTCGAGAAATTGTAATTAAAAATTAAAGTTAATCTCCGCTTGTACAAAATTGGATTAAAAATAAATTTTTTTTTAATTAAGCAAAATTGACTTTTTAATCTTTATTTAAATCGGATTGACTTCTCAATAAAAATTAATTTTTGATTTTTAATTTCTTAAGAATGAGTTAAAAATTAAACTTTAGTTTTCAACTGGAGGACCATTTATTAAATAATTACAATTTAATTACTAATTAGAGGAAATTTCGATAAATATCAATTTTTAATTGTTAATTAGACGTTAATTAGACGTCAAGATTTAATTAGCAATTTTAAACTCTAAAATTACCCTATTCATACTGTTAGAATTGTAATATATATGCATCAACAAATAAATAATAATTCCAATAGCATCTTACTTATTATTTTATTATCTTATTTATTTTTTCATTAATAGCATCATCACCTGTACTTCTTTTAACACATGCAATATAACATTATACTACATTGTATTATTTAATTTTTAAGAGTCGTACAAAGAGTTAAAAATTAACATAATATAGAAAATACCACAATTTGCTACATGTATGAACTAGTATAAATTATCCACTCTCCTCGTGTTCATATAAATCACATTCCCACGTCCAAGCTCAATAACAGTAATTTATTAATTAATTTGATTTTATGATTGTACAAGTTATTTCAATCTTCCTGATTACTTTTAACAGCTTTGATATGTTACATTAGGCACAAACATTACTTAAGAGAAGGACTATGTCACTACCCTAAATTGCCCTCCTGGTTGCGACGAAAAGAAATAATTCAATTAGAAAGTAAAATTTTTAAGTGACAGATAAGTGTCCAGGAAATCACTGTCACTGCTATTTAATTAATGGTAGCTGCCTTGTACATACGTTTTTTAATTTGTTAGAGTAAGCAGTAACGAGCTCGTAATTACAGTATGTACTAGAACACAGTACATACTTGGATTCAACAGTTCCGTCTAAGGACATTTCTAATCGTTCGAAAACGCTTATCGTTATCGTTACCGAAGAAAATGTGCACTCTGTCAAGATAAAGCAATCTGGAATACAAGGAATAGAAAAAAAATTTATACAACGTGATTTTAAATATGCAGAACATTTCATGTCGTCATATTCGCAGTGGAGCGGAGAGATAACCTTAGAAATCTTTCAAAGATAACTAATTTAAGTCGCGACAGACTTTGTACAACTAATATGTTAATGTCTTTCTTTCTCAGAAAACGTTGAATCATGTTGACGTTAATTAATTTAAATTAGTTCAAAAATGAATTAATTGTATTTTATGTTTACTTAGAGTGTCTAACGTGGGTCATTTATTTATATTAACGTAATGTCAATTATGTTTATAAAGTTCATGATTTGATATTTAAAGTTTAAAATTAATTTTATATTTCGC